TGAAATAGAAATAATCAAATTCTCTCGAGAAAAGGGCATTTAATTTTGGGAATTCTATGGAATCCAGGATAAAGCAGAATAAACAGGCTTGCTTTGGAAACCTCAGTATCAGGAGTTTAAAGACCTTTGCCCCCATGAACCCAACTCATGGTGACTCGTCTCACAAATCCTTCAGTCTATATTTCAAATTAGCAAATAAATTAACAAACAAAACAATGATCCATGGTGCTATATGCTAAGAAATAAGTAAATGTCGAATGTTAAATCTAAGGGATGAAAAGGAATCAGATGCAGAGAGCAGACAGAGGCAAGAGAAAAGGCAAAGGAACCCGGGTCAGGAAGAATTAAGCGGCAGGAGAGTAGTGAGCAAGGGGTCGTGGTACAAGAAGTCAGTGTCCAGATTACGAAAGGCTGTGGGCTCACCCTTCACTTATTATCCAGAAAGTGCCACATGATATACATCAGATGGGTCATTTTCTAAAGACTCTGGTGTCATTCCTCCTGGCTCCTTTACCAGCATGGCTGCAGGGTCTATTCCTAAATCTGGGTCTCTGTTTCTCCGTAGACGAGGAGGGTGCTAGAGTAGATGATCCTGTTTGCATTCTATGACCAAAAAGCACAATTCAGTTTTGAGTAGGGCACCAAAATATACTGGGTTTCCTGGGACAGTTTCAATTTATGCCACTTGTCCCAGCTCAATTATTCATAGCGCCCTCTTTCACTCTTAGAAGTGGCCCAGTTTGGACGATAAGTTATAAGGTCATTCTATTTATGGGAGAAGGGAGGTGCATGTGGCTGTGCTGTCAGCAATGGGTTAGACTTTTTGCCTTGATTCTTGTTAGGAATTTCCTTCCTCTGAGCTAGATGGAGGTTGGTTTTGCAGACTTTCCAAAATGCCCAGGCAAGCTTTGATGGGCACCAAATGTGCATGGCACAGTTTGCTCATCCTACTCAGGAAGATCGGACACTCAGCAAGTACAGGTGGAAGCTGGTGACTGCCTGTGGGCCAACGCCTGAGCCTTGGGTGGAGTTTGGCTGGGCGCGTGTGATTTGCTATCTATGAAGTGATTTGCCAACAATTGTTTTGATTTTTAATAACATCAGCTTATTAAGGGTATAAGAGGTGTAAGGTGGGGGTTACTTTGGGAACATGCAGAAGGGAGGACTCCCAAACAGAACCCACAGTACTATCAAATTCTCATAGCTGTGGCCCCAGAGAGAGTGAGCTGTGGATGACAGATGGCTCTGGAATCCTTCCTGCAATGGTTTATGTGTGTCTTCCAAGAAATGGGTAGTAAATGCACATCACCCCCCGGATAGGCAAGTGGGCTCGTGGTAGGATGTTAGGCAAGTGGGAATGGGATGCGGATTCTGCCACTCTGTTGTTACTTGAGATCACCTAGGGAGGAGCAGCGGCCGTTGGCGGAGGTCGAGGGTAAGAAAGGTAGACTTTTTTGGTTTAAATCAAGTGGATCCTCAGAGGGTAATTGATCTCAGACTCTCTATCTAACATCCAGCTCTTTTGTGTGTGGATGAACATAAGGAAACACATCTGGGAAAAGCCCCCCTTTTCCTGTTAAGAAAAAAATCTCAAAAAATAAAATTCTTTAAAATCCTGGGAGGCAACCCAGGAGTTTCTAAAGCAAGTTTCTTGAAACCTCTGAGGGTGATGAGAAGAGAAGGAGCCCAAGGAATAAATCTTCGGTTTCTTTTCTCCTTGTTAGATTTCTTGTTTGTCTGTTTGTTTTGTTTTGTTTTGATTTTAAGATTCTGGTGTGCAGGAATGATCTCAGAGAAGAGAAAATGAGTAACACTCGGTCAGTTTGTTTACTGCACAAACAAGCTCACATGCATTCATTTATAGACCAGTTACTATGGGTGAGGTGGCAAGGATGCAAAGCTGAATAACTTAAATAACCTGACCACCCTCCTTCCTTCACCCTGAAGTTCACAATGAAGTGCGAGAGAGGCATGTAAACTGACATAAATTATTGTTCTTCCTGAGGAGTGCTAGACCAGAGGTTTGAGACACATGCACACACACACACACACACACACACACACACACACCCTGCTCTTTAAATAGAGTTGCTCTTGTTTATATAGGTTTGTTCCCAGAATACCAGAACACCTCCAACCCCATTTTTTTGTATTTGCATATAAAATGCTTTTTTTGGGGGGGGGGGACAAGGTCTCCCTCTGCCACCTAGGGTAGAGTGCAGTGGCATCATCATAGCTCACTGCAACTTCAAACTCCTGGGCTCAGCCTCCTAAGTAGCTGGGACTACAGGCATGTACCACCACACCCAGCTAATTTTTCTATTTTTAATAGAGACAGGGTCTTATTTTTACTCAACTGGTCTCAAACTCCTGATTTCAAGCAATCCTCCCACCTCAGCCTCCCAGAGTCCTAGGATTATAGGCATGAGCAACCTCGCCTAGCCTAAAATGTCATGTAACATAAGCTTAACCGCTTCAAAGTGAACAATTCAATGGCACTTAGTACCTCTACGACGTTGTGCAACCACCATCTCTATCTAGTTCTGAAACATTTTCATCACCCCAAAATAAAACTCTGCACCTATTTATATTAAGCAGTTACTCCCATTCTTGTCTCCCCTCAGCCCTTAGCAAACACCAGTCTGCTTTCTATCTCTCTGGATTTACCCACTCTGGATATTTCATATGAATGGAGTTATACAACCTATGACCTTTTGTGTCTGGCTTCTTTCACTTAACATGATGTTTTCAAGTCTCATCCATGCAATAGCCTATATCAGTGCTTCCTTCCTTTTTATGGCTGAGTAATACTCCATTGTGTGTACACACCATAATTTGTTTATCCATCATCTGCTGATGGGCACTGGGCTTCTGTCCACCTACTGACTGTTGTGAATAGTGCTGCTATGAACATTCGTGTATAGGATTTTGTTTGGGCACCTGTTTTGAACCTACTCTTTAGGACATAGACATAGGAGTGGATTTGCTGAGTCATATGGTAATTCTACATTTAGATTTTGAGGAATTGCTGAACTGGTTTCCACAGTGGCTACACCACGACTTCCTCTTTCTGAAGACCCCCAGAGTTCTGTAGTTTTGATGTTCCTCTGTGACTTAACTGACAATCTTCAGAAAACTGAATCCTGGTATACAGATGCACCAAGCAGGTCTCAGTGCCTTGGTTGGTCCAGGAGGTCAGAGCTCGTGCCCACAAAGCTGAGGTCAGGGTTTGATCCCCACACTGACCAGTTAGCCGAGCAGAGCAGACAGAGCGAATAACTGTGTCTGCTGCCACATGCTCCACAATTGAATCCTGCCCTTTTGCAAAAGCTTGTTGGTGGTCCCAGGGCAATGGAGCAACAGTGTTTTTATGGTTCCACATAAAAGGGGGGAAAATCTATCACCCAAGGTCTACTGAAGGCACAGCAGGACTAGCCTGGAATCAGATGATTATGTCCAGTCCTGTTGTCACCTGATTTCTGTGGGACCCTTGGGTAAATTGCTTAATCCTGCCCAGAGCCTCAGTTTCCTCATCTCTGGAATGGGAATACTAATCCTTACTCCAAAGAGAGAACAGTACACACACAAAAGCACTTCCCCTGCATTTTCTGGCTTGGCTGTTATAGGCTTCTAATAAATGTCGTTGGAGCTGAAGGGCAGGCAACCTCAGCGCAGGCGGGAGCAACCCCATTGGCTTCTGCAGTGTGCTCTGAGCTGCTCTCCCAAGGTTGACTGAGCTGGAACGGTAGCGTGCTGTTGTCCAGGGGGTTACATTGGCTGTTTTAAATTGTCCTATTTGCATGGAATGAAGCTTGCTATGGTAACAAAGTCTGGTGGCTGGAATCCAGGGCCCCATTTCACTGAGCAAAGCCAGTGCTCTGCGAGGGAAAGAGGAGCTGGAAGGGGCTTATCAACGTTAAGTTACCTCAGTTCTCCTGTGAAGAGGGAATAGGTAAACTGAGGCAGGAGAAAGCTAGGAAGCCCCATGGATGTCTTCCGTCTTCTCTCCTAATCTCATTTCCCACCCCGACGAGATTCAGCCCAGCTAAGAAGCTTAGGACCCAGCTAAGGCTGGGTTCCCCTCCACCTGGGGTGCACATACTGGGGCTCCGACTGTGGGGAGGCCTGGGTGCCAGCAGCCCACCCGGGGAGAGACAATGCACCTCCTGGGGTGGCCAGCACAGGTCGGGCAGCGGTGCGGGTGCGGGTGCGGGTGCAGAGTGAGAGGCTTTAGGGCAGCAGCTCAGCTTCCCGCTGGGCATTTCCTACAGCGCAGTTTAAGGAACCGGGAAGCAAGAACTCCACTCCCGAGCTCGCGCCAACTGCCCCCTCCCCAGGAGCTCCACCCTTGCTCCGCTCTGGGGCCCCTCGGCCGAGCACCCCTCTCTCCCGAGCACCCAGCGCCTCCCCAACCCCAGTACCGCGCGGGGCACTAGTCCGCTGGGCGGGGGCTGCCCCACCGCTCCAGCAAGGGGACAGAGGGCCCGCCTGGGCCCCGGCGTCCCCCACCCCTCGCCAGGGGCGCCACCTCGGCCCCTCCGGGCCGCCGCCCTCCGCCCCCGCCCCCCGGGGGTGTGTGTCCCTGAAGTGGGGGGCGCTGGAGGCCGAGGGTGTCCCGCAGCCCCGGGCGCGGGCCCCCTCCCGAGCGGGCGGCGAATGGTAGGCTCCATTTAAAGAGTGCCTGGCGGCGCGCGGTGTCCTTCTCCGAGCCGCTCTTGGCGCCCGCCCGCCCGCCGGGGTCTCGGCGATCGCTGCTCCTCCTCCTCCTCCTTCTCCTCCTCTTTCTCCTCCTCCTCCTCCCCCCGCCGCCTCGCCACCGCCGCGGCTCGGGCTGGAGGCGCCGCTGTCATTCCTGCGCCCGAGGAGCCGGCGCTGCCGGTGCCTGGGGGTCGGGGCGCGGGCAAGCCGGGCTGCGGGGGACCCAACAGGTAGAGCAGGGGGTGCCCGGCCGCGCGCCCCCTGCGCATCATGCAGCTCTTTGTCACCTCTCTCGCCCCCAGGCCAAAATCCTGAGCATGATGGAAGACAATAAGCAGCTCGCGCTCCGCATCGATGGGGCGGTCCAGTCGGCCAGCCAGGAGGTGACCAACCTGCGAGCCGAACTCACGGCCACCAACCGGAGGCTGGCGGAACTGAGCGGCGGCAGCCCCGGCCCGGGCCCGGGAGCCGCGGCCAGCGCCTCGGCGGCGGTGGACTCGGCGGCGGCGAACATGGAGAACCACCAGCTCGGCGCGCAAGGTAGGGATCGCCCCGCGCCCAGGGCGGAGGGGAGGCGCCGGCACGCCCGCCCCCGCGCCCGGGAGGAATCGCTCCGCATCGTGGCTCGTAACCCTTTCCGCCGGCGGTGGCCACCGCTGCTCCCAGGCTGGGAGTTGCAGGCTGCTGTCATTAAGGAAAACCCAGGCGCAGTGTGCACGGGGTCACACGGTCACACCAGCCCTGGCCAGCGGGAGCCAGGCGCGGCCAGCAGGTCCCTTCCGGCAGCAGAAAGTGCCCTTTCGGTGGCAAGAAGCCTCCAGTTCCGTGGCAAACTTTTCATGCCCGGGCCTTTGCCCCCACCCCCGGCAGGGGTGAATGCCACAGTTCCCCCAGCTCCGAAGGCTCCTTCCTTTAGAACACTCTTTCCCAGAGAGAGCTCTGGGACAGTGGCCGGGTAGAGGATGGAACTGGTGCGCTTTCTCCCCAAGCCAAATCCCTCGGCTCGGTTGCATCTAGACTGTATTTTCTCCCCATTTGAGATCGCGCAGGCAGTGGAATACAGGGATGCAACAGTATGTGCTCTGTTCAGCAGGGAGTTTAAATTTCCAGCAAATATAAACAGCGAGAACACTTCCCAGGGGGACATTGTGGACTTCAAAAGTGGAGCGGTGGGCTCCTGGCGAGAAGAAGGCTGAGGTGGCGGGTCGCAGGGAACCCCTGTCTGAAGGGATGCTTTGCAATTTAGAGGAGGAAGGAGAAAAAGACAGTTGGTCTGTGCTGACATTGACAGTGATTTAGCTCTGAACCCCCCTGTGAGCACTAAAGGTGGGTGAGGTATCCCTAAAATGTACTGTTTTGGTTTGTGTGAATTAGAAAATAAAAGGGCAAGCAGGCTTTTCGTTTTTGTTTTTCTTTCTTTCCTTTTTGCCTAATTGCCCTTTAAGAAACACTGGTTATTAAAATCATTCGAATTGTAAACTAAACTGCTGAAATCCAGAACAGGATTAAAAAAAATCTCCAATCTATGAGGGCCACTTGTGTAAATATGTCACTTGATGAATACGAGGTACCAATTGCTCAGTGGCTCAAAATGATTTTCTGGGTTTTTTTTTTGTCATTTCAAGAGCTACTCGTAAGTGTTGAGAGTCTGTTTTCACACGAATGCCTTCTCTCCAGCAGTCCCAGCGTCTGCCCTGCCTTCCCAGGGAAGGTGTGCTTTCTTCATGCGAGAAGTGCAGCCTGAACATTAGGGGGTTTATGTCAGCTTCCAAGTCAGATCATAACTTGGTCTTGTGGGGCCTGTCAGAAGTCTTAGGAACTGGGGGAGCACTTTGGTAAGGAGGTAGCCATGACGTAATGGTGAGAAGCTGTTGTGGTCCTGGCGCAGGCTGCACAGTACTCAAGCTTGACATCTGGTTATTCTTGTCATTTATCCCTTGCTATGTCACTGTGTGTGAAAAAGAAAACATTCTCCACTGGAACATGGGGCGAGGGAGAAAAATGGGAAAGGCAGGTTGCAAGGGAATGTTTTACTTTTTACGGGCAAGAACTCTTCTAACAGTAAAGAAATAACTAAGAACTGGCATTTTGCTAAGACTCAAAAGCCATAGTAAGGGACACTGAACAATGCCCATTTATTTCCTACCGTCTGCCCCTTTCTGAGCCAAAGAAAAGTTAAGTGGCTTTTTATCTGAGTCCTCGGTCTAGCTGCAGACCGGGCATGCTAAGGAAGTCAGTGCAGCGATGATGTGCACACACTCAACTTGGAAATGGAGATACTAGTTGATGGTTAAATTGTTGTCTTGGAACAGCGGGAGGCTGTTTTCTTTTTCTTTTTTCCAACAAAAATGCACAGGGTTGTGGAAATGGAAATGGCTTTTGGATCTCTTGATATCCTTAAAAACACACACAACCTATAGCTCCTTCATACTCTTAGGAGCGCGCCTGTCCATCTCAGCGGCTGTCTGTGGGGGGTAGGATAAAGGGTGCTCTTGATTTTTTCCCCTCTGTACCATTGGTATTTCTCAAAACCTCTACTAGGGGCACTTAGCGATTTTATAATCAGAAAGTAAAATGTTAAAGGTTTAAGTTCCACTTGTTTATTGGCCATATATCTGTCAAAATTGATGAGAATTTGAACTGATGTGATGGTTGAAAGAAAACAAGCCCCCCATATAAAGCCAGTGGGACATTGTTGATTTATCTATGGCAACAGTACCTCCATCCTGGACTTTTAATGTACTTTTAATAATATACTTTTTACATTATATAGTGTCTGTGAGTTTTTTTGTTTATTTGGCTTGATTTTTTTGTTTTGTTTTGTTTTCCCTTTTTTGTGGCTGTGGCAGCATTTTGCCTTCTGCAGAGATGGTGGTCTGGTAGTTTCTTTTGCTGTTGCTTTAATTTTCCCAGAGGGAAACATTGGGTACTCATAAGTTAATTTTAAAGTGTAGTTGATTGGTTTCCTCGTGCTTCTTCATGACACACCTCCAGGGAAGCTCACAGAGGCTTCGCTCCTCGAAGTTTCTGACTGTTCTTCCGAACTAGTCCTCTGCTTTCATTCTGTGTTGGTGCAATTCAATGGGCACAGATGCTAAGAATATTAAGTGTGATTGAGTTATCACTCCTCAGATCAAGATTTTGAATGAAATGAGTATCTTACAAAATGTAACCTGCAGAAGTCATCTTTTAACTAAAGGGCATTATGCACATATTAAATGCATGCTAATATACCTTTAATAATATTGGCACAAATGGTTGTGGGAAAGTGTCACCTTTTGCTCCTTGTGCCAAGATATTGTTAGCTCCACTTTTAAATATTTTTGTTTAAAAAAATTTTTTTTTAATTTAAGTAAGCAAGCTCATCAATCCGTCACTGGATCTTTCGCTGCAGGGATGACAACTGGCAGTAGGTAGATTGGTGTCGCCTTTTGATGAAGAAAACTTGGGTTTTCCTAGAGGGTTAATGCAGTGTGTCATTTAAACAAAATATTAACTTGATTAGTACCCTCTGCGAGCTGGCATGGTTGCTATGTAACAGAATCTAGAAAGCGAACTGAAAATCTGGGCTTTCGGCACTTTGCAGGATCTTCTTTCGGAATCTGTGTTGAAGGAACGCTTGGCAGCAAGCCCATCTTGTCTCTCCACGCTGCAAGTGAGTTGGATAATCCCTAATGAGGATGCTGGCATACAGTGCAGAGGGCATCCGTGCGGGGCGGCACATTTCACAGCTCCGGAGGCTGCCTCTTGGGTTGCTGGGGTCACAACAGCCTTTGACAGGTGGACAGGAGGAGGCTTGGAAAGAACAGGGCCAAGGATTTGTTCCAATTCATCTTGTTGTTGGTAGCCAGAGAAGGGATTTGTTTAAAGTAACATTTCTAAGCTGTTTTCCTCAGCGTAACATCTCTGGGAAAATGTGTTTCAAATGCTCGCTGTTCTTCGAGGGGAAAATATAGCAGTTTGTTTCTCTGAAAATGTTTTATCTGATGAATGACTAATATTAGATTCAATTGCTTGATTTGCTATGCATTGGAATAAAACAATTAAGTATCATTGAACCCAATGCCAATAGGTGTTAACTGTACATAACATAAAATACTTATGCCCAGTGGGATACGTGCCTGCTACCTTTAGTTTGTTGTTGTTTTTTAAAGTAAATAATTATATTTCCACCCCTGTGCACATGAAAGTGTTGATAGCATCTTCCTTTGGTGTTGAGGGTTTCCTGCTCACTCCATTGGTTGGAATGGGGTGGAGGAAAGGGTCATCTTCCTACACCTTTGCCCATTCCATAAATACATGCAAGTTGTATTTTTCTCCCCAGGCGTTAAAATGGGCTGTTACTTAAGGTCTGACAGCTCTTATCTACTATTCGACAACAGTGGAAACTCTTTGGTGAAGTATAAATTACCTTTGGAGTGAACTGAATGTGTGAGTAGTCTGCGGAGACGCTAGACACTATTGCTTTGCGCAGTAAGTTCTGTCTTTTGGCATCCCCTTCCCAATTCATTCTGCCTCTGCTCTTGTTTTCCTAAGTAGACTTTTATCTTTTCTAAGAAAGAGAATTTTCAAATGGCAGAGAGGGTAGAACAAAATGTAGTGTAATCCCTGGAGTCCTTAGTTTGCTGCTAAGTTACAGAACTCATCAAGTAGCCTGTGCCTAGGTTTTCCAGCCTTATCGGTGGGCTGAAACAGTGTGTCTTTTCCTAAGCTGGTAGGCTGTCATGAGGTGGGGCTTCAAATATCTTCCTGAAAATTATCATGCATGGTCACCAAGAGATTACTTACAGATCAGTACAGTGTGGTTGAAGTTACTTACTGATTGGCGGTTATTTACTATCTTTCCATTGTCTTTGGAAAATACCTTCAAAGGACCCCATAAGTCAAGTTTCTAGTTCTGGTTAATTTCATGCTTCCCGTGTTTGTTGCATGATTTTCCGTGGTTTCCCAAAACTTCTTTGATGTACCCCAGAAGTCTTAGCTGATCTGATTTTTATAATAGGAGCCTTGTCATGTATTTTCCCAGGTAAGGCAAAATAGGTAGGCTCTCCCCATTCCTTTATTCCTTACTCCCCAAGACTGTTGGCACTTTTTAGGAATCCTGTAGGGTTATAATTTGTGACTTCCTGGCTGCCAGTGTGTTTGTAGCAGATGGGCTTGGCAGGTGGCAAGAGCTCATTGGAACTCTGCCTGCTCACCGTGCAAGTTGTATGGGGCACAGGTCAAGCTTGGGGTTTTGCCACATTCATTGCATATTTTACTTCTATATGTATGTATCCATATATTCATTCCTGGGTTTTATAGCTAAGAAGAGTGAAATCCACATGAATTCCTCCTCTCTTTTTAGACCTTTCCCAGGGCTGGTATGCATGAACATTCCTCCTTGGCTTCTTACCCCCTGCCATACATCAGGCAAGAATGGAATTCATTCTGCCTGCTGAGCCCAGGGAATGGGTTTTTAAGTGATCTTGCAAATGGAAATTGGTTCTTACTGTTTGGGTTGGATATTAGGGAGAGTAACACATGAGATAACAGAGGTG